CTGCGTGGACCACAGCAAACTATGGTTAACTCTGAGAAGAATGGGAATCCAATAACACTTGATTGTGCTTATGAGAAATCTATATTTGGACCAGGAGGCAATGAACAGAACAAAGATAGGAAACACTGCAAGGTTCAAAATTGGGAAGGGTGTACACCAGGGATGTGTCCTATCTCCATACTTTTCAATCATCTGCAGAACAGATGATCCAGGAGGCTCGTCTCTATGACGAGAAATGTGGCATTAGGATCAGAGGAAGATTCATCAACAATCTGTGTTATGCAGATGACACAACCCTGCTTGTTGACACTTAGGAGGACCTGAAACACTTGCTGCAGAAGGTCTAGGACTGCAGCCTTCCATATGAATTGAAGCTCAATAGCAAGAAAACAGATCCTTACCAGTAGGCCGTTTGACAGCATCATGATAGATGGTGAAGAGATTGAGATTGTTAACACTTTCGTTGCTTGGCTCCACAATCAATACTCTTGGTACCAGCAGCCAGGAAATTAAAAGATGCATTGCATTGAGAAATTCTGCTATCAGAGACTTCTCCAAAGTACCAAAGAGCAATGATGTCAATCTAGAAACTAAGGTGTGCCTGATAAAGTCCATGGTCTTTGCAACATTTGCTATGCATCAGAGAAATGGACAATGACGAGGGATGATAGAAGGAGAGTTGATACTTTGAGCTGTGGTGTTGGAGAAGAATATTGAATATACCATGGACTGCTAAGAAAAGGAATAGGTCCATGCTGGAGAGAGTGAAGCCAGGCTGCTTCTTGGAGGCAAGGATTCTGAAGCTCCCTCTGACATACTTTGGACACGTTGCAAGGAGGGACCAGTCCTTGGAAAAGGATGTCATGTTTGGGAGCATGGAGGGACAGCGCAGGAGAGGAAGATCCTCGGTGAGATGGATTGGTTCAGTGTCTGGGGTAATGGGGGTAGGTGTTTTGGAAACAGTGAGATAGGCGCAGGATAGAGCAGGGTTTAGGGCTGTTGTACATAGGGTTGCAATGAGTTGCCGGAGACTTGACAGCACATAACAACAATAAGAACAGCAACAAGAAACTGACATTATTGCTTTTTTGCACTTTGGAGAAGTCCTTGGCAGCAGATTTCCCCATACAGCTGGTCTTTTCATATCTTGACGACTATTACCATGAATGTTAATTGTGGATCCAATGAAAATGAATCTTTGACAGTATCAATCATTTCTCCATCTATCATGATGTGCTTATTGGTTCAGTAGTGAGGATTTGTGTTTTCTTGAAGTTGAGATATAATTAATATTTGAAGGCTACAGACTTCGGTCTTCTGCACTCTGCAAGTAAGTAGTTCAAGTCATCTTCACTTTCCACAACGAAGGTTGTATCAACTATATAATGCAGGTTGTTGAGGGGACTTCCTCCAATCTTGATGCCACATTTTTCTTTGTATACTCCCCTTTCTCAAATGATTTGCTCACCATCTTTATTGAATAGGTATAGAGACTGGATACAACTCTGATGCTCACCTTTCCTGATCTTTTTTTTTAATATATATAAAATTTTGTGGATTTTTTTCCCACACCAGATCTTTCCCCTTTCCTTTACCCATCCCTTCCTATCTTTCCTGATCTTTAACCACGTAGTATTTTCTCTTTTGTTTGGACAATAGCTTCTTGGTCTATGTGTAGAGTTCACATGCTCACAATTAAGAGTTAAGGGATTTCCACTTTTCTCAATGTTAGCCAAAATTTATTATGGCTTACATTATTATTAGAACCTTGAATTATGTAAATTATGTAGCAAATAATTTTTTCATAAAGCTATATTGATAGCTCCTGGAAGACTATCATCACTTGCAGTATCCTAGAGCAACTTCTTCATTTTTGGTTTTCCATGTTGATCTTGATTTCCCAAAAGTGTTTCATAAACTCTGGATGCTTTATGTCTTCCGTCTTCCTCATGAAGCTCCTTAGTTTCTTCTTGAGTCATTAATTGACCCTCAAGACATGCACCGAACATTGTTGTTACACAAAGGGCATAAGCGTATCAGAAACAGTGAGGGTGTTACCAGTGGGGCAGTGTTTTGCTCTGTTGTACATATCACTGAGCTGAAATTGACCACATGGCATCTAACAGCAAGAAGGTATCTTCCACCTTTGGTTCCTGACAACAGTGACAATTACTTTCCTTCCCTCTAGGATCCTTGATTAAGATATTCTAGAAGTAAACTCTGTATCTTCATTAGTTTTACTCAAAATGATGTATTTAAAAGAAGCAATGCAATTTATGTAGATTTTTTATAAAAGATGACTATAACACTATAGATGTGTATACTGAGTCTTTCAATGTATTTCCTCCTTCCACATAGTCTACCCTCCATCTCACTTCCTGAAGTTTTTAGATTTTAATACTACAGACATCTGACATAAACTTAAATAGTGTGAGGTTACATGGTAACTCTAACTTTGTGAAAATACTTTCTCCATTACCCCACTTTTCTCATTACTCCAGATTCACTGAACTCTTTTTAATTTTAAAATATATGAATTGAGTGAAATGTTATCTCACTTTTTCCTTGTTTCCCTGTGCTTGTCAAGTAAGTGAAGAGATTAAACCACATAGGGAAGAAATAAGACATTGAGAGAGACATAGGAATCGTCAATAATTTTACATAAGTTTATTCATGAGTAAACTGAGGCAAAGAGAAATCAAATGTTCCTCTCTGACATCACACAGCTTTAGCAGGGGGATAAATTTTAACTAGAAGCCAGGCTTTCAGACCTCTATTCCAGTGCTATTTCCAATTTTTCATGTCCTAAGTGCTTTCAAAATAACTTTTTTCCTTTTGGGACCTCCACAAATATTCCTGGGTTTTATTGGTTCAGTCCTAACTATGCTTCTCAGAACGAAAAAAGAAAAAAAAAATCATCAAAAAAACCAGTGTCTCTTGTCTTGAAAATGATAGGTTGACATCACATTATAAATTTACAGTAGCTTTTTTTTTTGTCCAGTTGGAAGGCTGTTTCCTGGGAATGAAAAACAGTGTTATAAGGAAAGGCACACACCATGTGGTAATAAAAACAAAATAAATTATCTCTCAACTTTTAAGTTTAAGTCTACCACTTCAATTAGCACCATTAGTGTTTTTCAAGTTGCTTCAGCTTATAAAATCTGAGTCAGGCAGTGAACATTTTAACACTATTTTTCTCACTAATTTATCCTTCATGTTGAGTGTCTTCTAACACATCATCTTGGGACTATTAAAATGAAACAGCTATTAACTAATTCCTTCAAGCATCAAGGTTGAGAACAGAAAGAAAGTAATTGCAATAAACAAGTAATTTCCAGTGAGGTCTTACTATGATACATAATTAGTAGAAAACAGAACACATTTTAGTCACGGCTTTATATGTTGAGAAATCAGAAAAAAAGAGATTCTTAACTCAGGAACAATAGACTTCAGAAATATGGGAGATAATGTCTCAGAGTAAATGTTCTTCTAGTGGTCAAACATGTTGCTTTACTTCTTCCATTCATTCAGGCCACCTATCTGTGAAAAGAACAATAGAACTACATCCTGAAGATACAGGGACTCTTGTCTTCTCACGACTTCAGTTTTTAGTGTACTGGCACAAGAAAAGGCTTCTAAATTTGTAGAAGGCAGAGGTTGTAATCTTCCCCCCCTTCATTAAGTTGGCTGCTTTGCTCTCCCTTCTAGTATCCATTTCACTGACTACTTGATATGGGCAGCAAAGTTGTCATTATCAATAAGATCTCAGCCTTTGACTTTCTTACACCCATTGCAATCAGATGCCTAGTTTTCATGATAGGCTCTTGTCATGTACGTTTCGGCTCGACTAGCAGCTCATTAGAGAGTTCTCTTCTAGAATTATCTAATATAATCTAATACTTCCTGATATGATCACTCACCTTTTTTTTTTATTGTAGCTTTTCATCTTTGTCTGATATTTCTTTTTTAATCTCAGTCTCCCTCTCTTCTAAACACCGCAAGTGCGGGTACATTTCTAATCTGGCTTGTTTAACTCTGATGTCTAAAAATGCTTGACATGCAGACACCCAGTTGGCATCATTAATTGTTGAATGAATGAATGAATTCTCAATTGTCTACAGCTTGAGAATATGACTACAGATTCATTCTTTTGGGGAAATTTTTACTTCTCATGTGGTGGCATTTTAATAGAATTTAAAATTCAGTCCTAAAATTGAGTTTTGGAAATGAAGAAACATCTAGAAGAAAAAAGCTTGTAGCATTCATGCCACCGGAAGTACTGTGATGGGCATCACCAGAAAATGCTGGCTTATTTTTGTTGGTTTGTTTACTCAGGAAGTAGGGACATCTGGGTAGATAAAACCGTTGTTTATTTTAAAATAAAGAGCTGTAACAACTTTGGGAGTTGTATATGAAAGAGAAAAATGCCCTGAGAAAATGAATCGGTCTGGAGAAAATGAGAAAAGGTCTTATCCCCCGTTTAAAGCACTGATTTCTTTGGTTCTTCGAATCTTAAGTGGAACTTCCTAGAAAGTTCTCAGTTTGTGTCGTTTTCTAAATAAGCAGTCTGGAAGCAGTAATGCAAAAAAGAAAATAAAAAAAAAGAAAGAAAAAAGAAAAGAGAGCGTCTGGCTCCTTCCAGGCCTTCAAAGTTGCGGCTACTGTAGGACTGACTTTGGCTGCGCTCTAGACGCCTTTCCGATCCCTTTAAAGGTGGGGTTCATGACGAGGATGCGGGGGAAGGAGGCGGGAGCCAAGGACTGGAGAGTCTTGGTTGACATAGTAACTCTCTGCCTGCATTGCCACCGGGCCCCGCCTGCGCTCTGGGTCCAGGAGGGCGGCCACCTCCCGGTCCCCCGGGCCCTACACGAGCAGAGTAACGCTCCCCTAGTGGCCCCTAAGTGGTGGCAGCTTCTCGCCCTGTGGGGGAGCCATTTACACGGCCCTGGGCGTCTGCAGTTTGTCCCCGGAGAGGACCCTCCGCGACACATTTGGCAGGAAGCGCCGAGGCGCCTCCTCTGGCAGCGGGACCCCGGGCAGTCCCGCTTTCGCGCCATGAGCCAGAGCCCCGCGTTCGGGCCCCGCAGGGGCGGCAGTCCCTTGGTGGTGGCCGGGGCCGGCGCGCGGCGCAACGACAGCCAGGACTACCTGCTCATGGACTCGGAGCTGGGCGACGAGGGCGGCCCGCAGCCCCCTTACGGCTACTACCCCTGCTTGTGAGTGCGGGCGCCGGCGGCGGCGGCGGGGAGCGGGGCGCACGGGAGGGAACATGCGGAGCGCCGGGGACTGCTGGGGGGGGGTGTTCGGTACCCCACGGAATGAGGGGTCCGTGTGGGTTCGAGAGAGCTCTTGGTGAGGATTTATGGTGGCGTTTCTCGAGAGTCTAAGACTTCCAAGTGCTTCCACCCACAGGTGAGCACATAGATGCTTGGTGATGTTTTCAGCCCTGGTGCCCCTTGGAGCTACTCAAAGAGATTCAGTGTCGTTGTGCAAAAGGCATCAACTGAGCAAGCAACTGTCTCAACACTTCGACCACAGGGGAGAGGTGAACCACAGGACAGAGGTGACCGGCCCTCGTGGTGCCATGGGGGAGCCCGGATCCCGCGCGTCCGGCTGCCCACCTGGCCTGTCCCGCGGCGCGCAGTGTCCTGTGCGGGCAACTGGAAAGTTGGAAGATAGGCGTGGGCACAGGGAGACCCCTGCTAGTGGTTCCTGGTGCATCCTCTCACTCACCCTCTAGCATTGAGGTTCAAGGCAGAGAAACAGAACCTGTGGGCTTCTGCGCTGATGGTAGTGGATTTCAGGTACTTAGGAGACTTTGAGAGTCTGTTATTCTGCGGAGGTTGCGTGGAAGGTGGTAGTGGTGGGAATTGGAAAGAAGAAAAAAGTAAGTCCTCCACAGTCATGTGATCGCGAATGCAAATGGCAGCATTTCTGTCGCTTTGCCCTTTTTTTAGTAGTCAGGTTTCCTGATCTGTGACAGCCACCCGTTTGTGGTTTCTCTAGGAAAGCATTTCTTAGCTCTCCGTGCAGCTCTAGGGATGAAGGGGAGTTGAACCCCATGCATGGGCTTCTGGAAGACCTTAGGATGCCAGTCTAGGCCTTAGGAGTACTGGCCAGGGCCATCAAAGTCAAGTCCAGCTCCAGTTCTTTTATGAAGTAAGAACTGAGCTAGGCAGTCGTACATCCTTTCTCCTTTTCCCAAGATAAATGACAAAGTTAGATCTGGTCCCACTCATCTGTTATGGATTTTCAAAGCATTAACTAGTTTATCACCACCACCATCATCCCTCATAAAACATACTTTAAAGGTGCATAAACTCAGTGGTTTTTAAAGAATGGTAACTGAACAGTGCAACCATCACTCAACTCTGTAGAATTTCAGAACATTGCTGTCTCTTAAAAAAACAACAGCAAACAACCAACCATCCAGATCTCAAGTTAGATTAGGATAAATTTCTACTTCTTTTTACACTGCATCTTAGACTTAATAGGCACACAATCACCAGTTTCACCAATTTGAGCTTGATAAAGTGTAGACTAGATTATAATTCATGTTTTAAGGAGCACTACTAGCGTGGTCCTTAAAGTGTAATGAGGCTAACTGAAAAGTCAGTTATTTGAATTCACCTGTGCTCAAGCGTAGAGGGTCTCTGAGTTGGAACTGACTTGATGACAGGTTTTGCTTGTTTTATCACCTTAATTCATGTCTTAGGCTCAGCAGCAGGTCCTCCATTGCTAGCTGCGTCCCAGATGTGTTGAGGTGTGTGCAGTGTCTGATGAGCAAAGAGACAGATGACCAAAATAATAGAAAAGTAAACCAGTCTTGGACATTCTGAATGCAGTCATTTTCAAGTTTGCTTTGTCAGAAGGTATATATTTATAACTTAGGTGGACTTTTTTTTTTTTAATTGGCTGTGACTTCAAATTTTTTTGGCTACCAAGCCTTAGAGTTATGTTGGGTAAAGTTACCTACAGGCTAAATTAAGTAACTTTAAAAGGTATATTGTTGTTGTGTATCTTAGAGTCAGAACTGACCCATAACTGAGCCTCCAGCAGGTTTTCAGAGACAGTTTAATGCATGGGAGGAAATTGCCCATCCTTCTCCCCAGAGCAGCTGGAGGCCTCAAACCATGTACTTTTGGACTTGCAGTGCAGCTTCTTGCCACTAGGCCACCAGAGCTGCCTAAAAAGCTGTACTTGTCTTTAAAATTATTATTAGCCTGGTTCATGAACATAGACTTTTCTGTTTTTATATCCTGGTCACCCAAAAAGCAGTTGCTATGTCTATAGGGAAAAAAATTATTTGATTTAAACAGTTACAGTTCTATACTAGTAGTGACAGGTAAAAAGAATTTCAGGCTTTACAAAAATTTTTGCCACTGCTTTTCTTAAAGGTGGTTTACTGTCAAACTTACTTACCTAGGGTTTGTTTGGGGTTTTTTTGTGGGTTGTGCTTTTTTTTTTAAATTTTTTTTAACATTAGCTACTATATACAGAGTAAGGTTTTTCACCCATAGTTCAGAAAATCCAGTCCACTTTTAATAAGTAGACCAGAGAAGCAGAGAGATGAACAGAAATACTTCACTGTGCTTTCGGTTCTTAATGAGCACCTGCGTTGTGCTGGCTTAACCCTGACAGATGAAGAGCAAGCAGACCAAGTCAACGTCAGAGTTTGAGCTTGTCTGAATCTATTCTCTCCAAAAGATTCTATAGTTGCTTTTCATTCACTGTTTTCTCTGGCAAGATTCTCTGGGAGATTCTGCTTCTGCTCCCTTTAATAGCAAAAAGGAGCAGTCTCCCTCTTCTTCCTCGTTAATAATCAAAATATGGGCAGTCTCTTTCAGTTGTGTTTGTAGCCTGGGGAGTCTGTTGGAAGGTTCTTATGAGTCAGAACTGACCCAGCGGCAGTGAGTTTGAGTTTTTGAGCTTAATTTTCAAGTAACAACAACAACAACAACAACAAAAGTAATCAATTAACAACAATATTTCACATATATGATTTATGAGAATGAACTAAAGAAAGTAATTTTTCTTTGCTAGAAAGAATAAATAAATCCTTCTAATTCTTCCATATACTTTTGATAATGTGATTAAAATAATTTCAACCTTTTGCAAAATAATATATTCATGAAAGTGGCACTCAATCACAGGTCACATTTTAGATATTGCTTGCAATGCCATTTTCCCAACATTGAGATTTTTTCCTTCATAAATTCTCAATTTCTTGTAAATTAATTGCCATTTTTGTGAAGTAAATTCTATTATACAAAAAACTATTTCAGAGTTTATTGATGTACTAGTATAACTACACATGCTTGTGCTGCTTTTATTAAGTTGTAGTATGTTAACTAAGTTTGAAAACAAAGAAGTATTTTCAAGTCTTAGTAATACAGGTGATAGCATTTGGAAATGGTGTTTAGAAAAATGTTCGAATTTTTTTTGGGGGGGCCAGACTCTGTCTGAAATTCAAGTAATTGTTCTATTGTGATTAATTTGCAGTGGTGCTTAGCAAGATTCTGTTCATGTTCTACCACAGTCCTTAAAGATATATCAGATGGTTTCTTCATTTACAAAGAAAACATGTTTCTAGTCATCACTTTTATATAAAAAGAAACAACTTACTGCCATTGAGTTGGACTTTCCAAGGCCCTAAGTCATATGGAAATAGATTGCCGTTCTTTCTCCACCAGCACCCTGAGTTGCCCAGTGATAAGGACGTGTACAGCCAGGCTAACAGCTCATGATCTGAATCCACCAGCTGCTGTGCAGGAGAAAGTTGGGCAGTATTCTCCTGCACAATGTACTGCTTATGAAAATTCTCTGGACAGAGGTCAGTCAGTTCCAACTAGCTAGTACAATAACAGTGTAATAAAAAAAAATTGTAGTCTTCTAAACAGTGAGAAAATAAATCCCTATTTTTTAAAGCCACTACTTGTGATATTTTTATTATAATAATATTAGACAACTAAGCAGAATGGGAGAAAACATAAAATACAAATGTGTACAGCAACAATATAAAGGAAATATAAAATAGAAACAGAACAAGACTTATTTAAAAAATAATAATAATGTTTAATAAATAGAACATCAAGATATGAATAATATACTTAGTGAAGTAAAAAGAAGAACCTGATGGAGGGGTTAAATAACAGAATAGGCATAGCATAATTTAGGATATTGTACATGTAACATGTAGCATAGAGAGAACTGTGAAGCCAAACACTGTGACACTGATGCGTCAAATGTGAAAATGGTTACTCATGGTGGACAGTGTTTGGTGAACTTCCCCGATTAAACAAGCTTGGAAGCAGGAGTGGCATCCACTTCCACAATAGCTTGCCTCTGGAAACCCTATGAACCTGGAGAAAGGACGAAAGTTATACAGGAG